TTTCTGAGGTCAGGGGGTAAGGAATTCCAAAGTCGAGGGGCAGAGCAACTAAAAGCCCTGCCCCCCATGGTAATAAGATGAATTGAAGGAACAGAAAGAAGAAGAGCAGAGGAGGATGTTAGGATGACTTGATGTTTCTAGTGGTCTAGTGTACCAAAACAAGCTTGGTAAGAAGCCTGGATCTGACAGCTCATTGTATGGTAGGTTCACGTTTTTTTGGGTTTTTCTTCCATTTTTGTTTGCAAAGGGTAATTTTGGATTTAAGACAGCAATGTATACTATGAGGGGCCGATGGCGCGATATGGCAGCCTCGCTTCTGTCAGTCTGCCCCAGGGCAGCTGTGGCTACAACCATAGCTTGCCTTCACCAGTGTGCTTCTGTGAGAGTGAATGAATAGTGGCATTGTAAAGCGCTTTGGGTGCCTTGAAAAGCGCTATATAAATCCAATCCATTATTATTATTATTATTATTATGAGTTTCATTTAAATCCACGATTGATATGCAAATGAGTATGTGACAAAAGAGCAATTTTCTGTTGTTATACCTCTGAGCTCTGAATGCAGGTGCAGTAGAAACACTTCATCTATCATCTGTCTTATTCTGGCCTTCCTTTCCCACATGACTATTTCAATTTTCACTCTCAGAAGTGCTCCAAACTTTAAAAAGGTTCAAATGCATTATCATCATATGTTACACGCTCTGGTGGAAATATAAACCCCTTGCCACAAACATTCTGTCTATTCTAATAACAAGAAAACATCAAAACTAAAGTGGAGCTGTTAAAATCTTCACACTTCATGCTTTCATATACATTGCTTGGTCTCAGTTGCTCTCTTACCTGATGCATTGTTGTATACATGAACTTAATAAAAAATAATTTTTCAATGTTATACATTCCAACAAGACACATATGGGCACTGGTATTGGTAGTTGTGTGTAAGCTAGGTGCTGTTGCTATGATTTTCATTGCTTGTCTTAGTAACGGAAGTTTTAGCTTTTCTCATTGACATCATAAACCACAGGAAGATGAAGAAACCTGCATGACACAAAGAAGAGAGAGAGGAAAGCAAATGTTTAGACTGTATACAAGAGATGCAATGAGGATTCACATTTGAAAATGAAAGCAGTAAATGAACTATGTGTCAGGATCTGCAGGATGGAGAGGTGATTAGAGATGTGGAGACAGCTGGGGAGAACAAGTCATGGCTGAACAGAATCATAACAGACAAGAACAGAAGAAAAACCCAAGACAATCACATGAATGGAAAAAATACAATGTGCTCAACACAGTAGTTATGGGAGGTTCGGCTCCTTTCCCTTACAAAATGATATGAAAAACTATTTTTATTCAATTTATTTCAAAAGAACGTAAGAAAAGTAAGAAAGTACAAAATTTCAAAAGTTAG